CAGTCAGGTCTTCCCTAGTGCTCCAGCAACCTAGCTCAGTAACCTAAAGGCAAAAAAAGACACTTTAGTATGTGCACATACTAATCTTGTATACTATAGATCACATCTGGCACAAACTCTGGCATGGTTTGGGGCTTCCCTTTGGCTTGATCCAGAAGCTGCAGTTAGTGCAGAATGCTGCAGCACAACTGCTGAGAGGTGTGACTTTGTCCACATAGAATAGCTGTGCTCAGAGATTTGCAAGTTCAAGGTGTTAAGTGTACGAGCATACAGTCGTACCTTGGAAGTCGAACGGAATCCATTCCGGAAGTTCATTTGACTTCCAAAATGTTCAAAGACTGAATCACGGCTTCTGATTGGCTGCAGGAAGCTCCTGCAGCCAATCAGAAGATGTGGAAGCCCCATCAGACGTTCAGCTTCCAAAAATAGTTCGCAAACCGGAACAGTCACTTCTGGGTTTGCGGTGTTCGGGAGCCAAAATGTTTGGGAACTAAGCTGTTTGAAAACCAAAGTACAATTGTAAAGCCCTTGACAACTTCGGAACCAGTTTACCAGCAAGAACTCCTTACCCCATATGTGCCTGCTGGACCACTTCAATCTGCAGAACTGGCACTGTTACAGCTACCCCATTACCTGTTCTGCATTTGTAAAAAATCAATTTTGTTATGTGGCAGCACCTGCACTTTGGAACTCCTTGCCTACCAACATTGGGCAGGACCTTCACTGCATACTTTTCAGTGTCTGCTAAAAATATTTTTGTTTAGCCAAGCTTACCCTGATATCTGGAATGTTGATGTGTGTTTTAATTTGTTTTTAGTTTATTGCTGATTTGAATGTTTCAAATTATTGTTTTTATTTTATTTTTTACCAATAATGTTATTGTTTTATTCTTCTTATAAACAACTTTGAGGTTTTCTACAATGAAAAGTGTCTAAATCTTAGGAAATAAATAAATAACTTGTGGCCGAAAATATAGTGTGCCTTTAGTCTGACCCCCCGTCAGTCAATTTCCTGAGGAGTTGATGTGAAAATATGAAGGTATGCCATCTTTTCATATTGTTTCATATGATTTACTGTTTCAGCTTTAAATTTTGATATGGTGTGGTGTTTTTTTTTCTTACTGACTGCTTTGACTGTTCCAATAGAAAAGTAGTACAGATAATAATAATAATAATAATAATAATAATAATAATAATAATAATAAACACAGCAACCTGAGAGACAGAGTTTAAAATAGCTCTTATTGCAACCAAGAATTGGAACAAAAGACAAAGCTATAGCTTAAATATTGTGGCTAGGATTATACAGCAGGTTCAGCATTCTGCCCACTCTGCACATTTTTTCTTATACAGTCATACCTCGGGTTACAGATGCTTCAGGTTGTGTTTTTTCGGATTACGGATCGCCGAAACCCGGAAGTACCAGAACGGGTTACTTCCGGGTTTCAGCAGTCGCGCATGCACAGAAGCGCTAAATTGCACTTTGCACATGAGTGCCGAATCGCAACCTGCGCAGACACACTGCTGAGGGTTGCGAACGTGCATCCTGCACGGATCGCGTTCGCAACACGAGTGTCCACTGTATGAGTCACCTGGTCATATGAGGTGGGTGGGGGGAATTAATGGTCTAAATCCAACACAGGCAAGCTTAAGCCCACTGAATTCTGTGACTTTACAGAGTGTTGGATATAGGCCAATGTTACTGGGGACACTGCAAGTTGGTGTTAGTCCCCATCTCACAGGCAGATTTTTCACAAAGTGGTGGCCCATACAAGTTGGAAAATGGACACTGGTGAATCCTGGACTGCCAACAATCAGAGCTGCACAACATGTGTGTCTGAACACATGTTCTATATATAATGTGATCTGGCTTCACAGACAATCACACTGGGTGAGGTGTGGACTGTACATAAAGCAGCAGGCCACAACCCTTTAGAGAGACTTTTCTCTCCCCCAAATGCTTATGTGTAATGTAAATCAATGGCAAGAAGGCCACACACACCCCCACGACACTGTTGAGACTCTTAACTCCCATCAGCTCCACTTAGCATGCTCAATGGTCAGGGATGATGAAAGCTATAGTTGTTCAGCAGCCTCTGCACTGCGTATTTTGGGTCTATGAACTGCAATAAATTTGTTTGTGTGCTATAGTCCAGCAACATCTGAAGGCCTCATGTTGGCTACACCTACAGTAAACTATTGATGGTCCTTCAGGTGATGTTCAGCGTCTAGCTCCCATCAACCACAGCCTGCATGGGCAATGGGAGTCCAAAAGGCAACCCTTGAGACACCCCAGTTGAAGCCTCTGAGCTAAACGGAGAGATAAAAGGGGTCTCTGATATAAAGGGTGCAGCAGGGCTGTAAGAAGGAGGATGTGCAACAGGCATAGGCAAACTCCGGCCCTCCAGATGTTTGGGACTACAATTCCCACCATCCCTAGCTAACAGGACCAGCGGACAGGGAAGATGGGAACTGTAGTCCCAAACATCTGGAGGATCGGAGTTTGAATTATGCCCGATGTGCACTGTGAGAACGGGGCTGGACTAGGTGGGTCCCTTTTGGCCCGTTCCCGGGGCTGCAGGGCTCTTCTCAGTTTTGTAAGATTTGTCAATGGAGCCTCCATAGACAGTGCATTCTACCTTAGAATGCTGGAGAGTAGGAGTGGGAGGAGGCTGTTGCTCTCACGTGCTGCTTGGGGGGGGGTTCCCTTTGGGACACCTGGTTGGCCACTGTGGCTGGGCTGGATGGGGCCCCCTTTGGCCTGATCCAGCAGCTCTTAAGGATAGGCCTCGCTTCCTGCGCTGTCCTTCTGGAGCCAGATCCAAGAGCTCAGTTGCTCTCTGCACATGATCAGGGGAGACATGGGGAGCCTACCCCGAAAAGTAAAACGCGTGCGGGTCCAGGGAAGTCAGAAATGCGCTTCATGGGCTGGGAGGAGACGTTGAGGCCTACCTTGCAGGGAGGAAGGGGCAGGGGAACCCCCCCCCGGCCAGGTAGACTGCCTCCCCTCCCTGCTCCTTATGACGTCACCGCCAACAACCCCCCCTCCGCTTCCTTAATACGTCACGGGCCTCACCCCGCCACCCTGGACTCCCTTTCTAGGCCCAACTCGGCCGGAGACTCACCGCAGGCGCCATGGCGGCAGCAACGAGGGGGAAAGAGAGAAAAAGAAGGCGGCCGCGCGCATGCGCCTACTTCGGCGCCGCCCTCCCGCCCACTTCCGCCCTTGCGTCAGGCGGCGTGCGCTTGCGCACTCGCCGCATAGGAGGGGCGGGGGAAGGAGAGAAAGTAGGATATAACCATAGAGACGAGCGGGTAGGGTGGGGATCGCCTTCAGCGTCGCGTCCTCTTAAGGCCGCTGCTCGCGGAGCATGCTGGGAGGTGTGCCGTAAAGAGAAGCATGGCGGGGAGGGACTGAGCAATACCTTTGGCCCGCTTCCCATCCTGCTCCTCCTCCTCCTCTCTTCCCGGGGGTTGATGGGAGTTGTGGTTCCAGGCGCTGCTCGGAGCTGCCTAAGAAACTTTATTAGTCTCGTTATTCATTAAATTAAATAAATAAATAAATAAAGTTTTCAAATAAATAAAAAACAATGTTCTGAATGTTAATGTAATGAAAAAATAAAAAATTGCTCCAAATAACATAAATAGAGCTGCCTCTCTGTTTCTTTATGAGAGCCGGTCACGCATATGCACTGATGTTCTCTGTATATTAACAGATATATATCCTTCCCAAGGTATTCCTCCCACATTCAAAACCATAGGTAGGCAAACTAAGTCCTGGGGGCCGGAACCGGCCCAATTGCCTTCTAAATCCGGCCCGTGGACGGTCCGGCAATCAGCATGTTTTTACATGAGTAGAATATGTCCTTTTATTTAAAATGCACCTCTGGATTATTTGCGGGGCCTGCCTGGTGTTTTTACATGAGCAGAAGGGTTGCTTTTATTTAAAATGTATCTCTGGGTTATTTGTGGGCAGTGGCGGCGCTTCATGCTCCGGCACCAGGGGAGGGGGAGGGGCAGAGAGCAGGCAGGGGCTTGCAGGGGCATGGTGCGTGTCCTGGGGGCGTGGCGCGCCACCTGTGGGGGTGTTGCTCCTAGCACAGGCGAGGGGGCAGCCGCCATGGCACCCCACCGGGATCGCACTGCCGGGGGCGGTACGCTCCCCCCCCCACTCCTTTTCCTCCCACAGTGTATGTGGGGCATAGGAATTCGTTCCTTTCCCCCCCCCCCAAAAAAAAAAATATAGTCCAGCCCCCACAAGGTCTGAGGGACAGTGGACCAGCCCCCTGCTGAAAAGTTTTGCTGACCCCTGTTCAAAACTGTTTACTGTAAATACATAAATGGTTGTCTAGGCAGAACTCGCTAGAAGAAAATAAGATCCGGTGACTTGAAATGGGGGAGATTTACCTAACTTCCTCAAACAATCCACAAACTGAAACGCAGTTCTCCTTGGAATTTAACACTTTTCCAAATTTTGCAATGTGCTTCTCCAACTCTCAAATGTGTGTACAAAGATGCTTATATTAGGGGGTCGTGGTAAGCATGCCTTTAAAATTGCAAATGTTGGTAAAATTGTTTGCAAGAAAAGTGTGCGTATTCAGCAGAAATCGATACAAAAATTGTGTATATCAGGAGAAACCAATGCTGACAGGTTTTCCCAAGGACTTGCGGGGCTGGGTGGGTTGGAAATTGATGTGGAAATATTGCCAATGGATATGTGTAGATGTCATGGACTGAAGACTGGAATAAAGAAACATCTATTGTAAGCCTTCGCCAACCTGGTGCCTTTCAGATGTTGAACTACAATTCCCAACAGCACCAGTGGCACTGATGGGAGTTGTAGTTCAGCATCTGGAGGCATAGCTGTCAACCTTCCCTTTTTTTGTGGGAAATTCCCTTATTCCAGCGCCGTTTCCCACTGCTTTCCGCTGCTGTCCTGGATTGTTAGATATCCTGTAGTCTGTCCCCAGGACAGGTGAGGCTGCTGATCCCTTATTTTCAAATCTGAAAGTTGACAGCTATGTCTGGAGGGCACCTGCTTGGAGAAGGCTGATCTACCCATAACCAGTGACAGTGCATAGTGTCTACCTGTCTTACTCCTTTGAAATGGCCATTCAACTTGCTAATCCCCGTGGCCTCTGAAACACGGAGGGAGTTTGCTTTGTTTCCATCACATGGGCACTTGATCTGACCTTGAATGAACCTTGACAGCGGCGGCGAATGAGAGAGAAAAATTCTGACGTGCTGGAGAAGGGAAGCAGACCGTCAGTCGATAGACATTTGCGCTTGCCTCTTCGTTATCCTGCCTTCCCAGAGCAACAATCCCAAGGGAGCTGGGGGAGCAGACCGTTTTCTAGCACTTCCCAGGAAATGGGATACAAGAGCCGATGAACTTTTTGCCTCTTCAAATTTGACACGCCGTCTTCTCCAAAGTACCCGTACTTACTGAGTTTCTGCAGAAGAATTTATGAAGTCCGTATTTGTTCTGACGCCATGGGTGCACACCTGAAATTTGCCTGCTATCTTTCAGAAGGAGGATTATTTTGCCATTGTCTCAGCAGAAATTCTTGTCCAGGAGGGCACGTTTTCCCTCAAGTCACTACAATTCTAAACAGGTGGTAATTTGTCTTATACACTGGTCGGCTGAAAGCTACAGCAATTTTGAACTGAAACAAGTGGAGGCAGCAAATCGATCACTGCAGAAGTGGGCAAAGTGGAGAAGACCAAAGGAAATCCGGAAAAGGTAAGATGTTTCTGCCCTCCACCCAAAAGAACAGCATGGCAGAGGTGAGATCATTTATAATTGTAATTATGACACCCACTCAACTGATGCAGGCCTGAATTCATAGGGCTGTTGCCAATGTCCTCAGACTAATTTGTGTCCATTAATTTTGGTGCATGGCTAAATTCCTGGGTGGAATTCTCCAAACTTACAAAAATTCTAGGTAGGAAGGACTCATACAGGCTTTATGGCTGATAGAGTTTCCCTTAGATCTATTTATTCCTCAGTGTGAAGTTGCCATTCTGCCACGCGGTTGGGGAACAATTGACCTAGTAGGAAAGGAAGCGCTCTGGTATTTTCAATTTGCTTAATAGCATGCATCCAGAACATGATGAATCACTATCCACAAAGCCCTCAAGACTTTCCCCCAAACAGCTGTTTCAGAATGAAAAGAAGGGATTAGCATCCACTCTTGAAATATTACCCTTTCGCTGTCCGTTCGTCCTTCACTGGTCTTCGCAGCCCATTAATCCATATTAATTGTAAAGCTTAAGACAAAGCAGATCATGGTTGTGTTTTTCTCACATGGGTGGTGGGGGGGGGATGAACACGTATGTACTGTAACGTGTGAAAACTGCACACAAGTGTCAATATTGCCTCTATTTATACATGGAAGCCACAGCACATCATGGCTCCCCAAACGTGTACTTGCAACTGGACTTGCAAAATTTTCACACATTGTTTGCACACTTTTGTTCTCTGTCCCTGTGGAGGAGAAAATCTTGAGGTGTGTGAATATGACTTCTTCAACCAGGCATGCTGGTATCAATTCCACTGTATTTCTGGGTTCTACCAGCAGAGGTCACTGTAGAGCCAATGAAACCATTGCAACCTAAAGATGAACTTGCCAAAATACGGTATACCAAAACCCCAAACACCTTTCAGTATATTTTCTTCAGAAATTAAAATATGATTTCTGGTTCCCCAGCCTTTTAAACTTTTCAGCAATCAAAAATGGGAAAGCTGGAAGGACTTTGGATTCTGTTTGGTGCGGGATAGCAATGTGCTTAAATAGTTTTTTCTTTTAAATCACTCTTTGATTACTAGAGTGGAAATATGTCTCAATTGATTGCTACCTCATTTCCTCTAGCCAGAAGCAAGCAATAGAAAGTCACTGATTTTAGCCTTTACACACACTTGTGATCCTTATAAATGTGTGTGTAACTTGCTATAAATACACACAGTCCCTACTGGTCTTAGAGAATACAATATTTTAATAGTTCAGAGTTGATAGACAGTGGTGTGCTGCAAGAAAACACATAATGTGCTGTGAGAAAAAATGGAATTGTTAAAAGCACCTCTGAGCCAAAAGTACCCTAGCTTTTTAATGTTTAATAGGTTATGCTTTTAATGTTTACTAGGTTATTGTATTTTAATATTCTGTTGGAAGCCACCCAGAGTGGCTGGGGAAACCCAGCAGATGGGCAGGGTATAAATATATTATTATTATTATTATTATTATTATTATTATTATTATTATTATTATTATCATCAGCACAGGATGCTGCCTGCCGTATCTCTGCATGAGCCACTGCTCTGGGATTGCTTCTTTTGAACCTGGGTGGATACCCAAATCAATGACTCCGGCACAAACACTAAGGATGGTCTCCTCTGAGGGCATGCAAGTGTTAAAATCTCACACCCTAAAAGCAGAGAGGTTTATGAGTGGGCCTCACATTCAGAAATAAAACTCACCTTGACTATCAATTGCTCCAGGGGGCCAGGACCCAGACCAATGGATTCAACTTACAAGAAAGGAGATCCCAAGGAAACATTAGGAAGGATTTTCTGGTGGTAATAGCTGTTCAGCAGTGGAACAGACTACTTCAGAAGGCAGTGGACTCCCCTCCACTGGAAATTTTTAAGCAGAGGTGTGTGGCCATCTGTCAGGGTTTCTTTAAGCTGTGATTCCTGCATTGCAGGGGGTTAGACTAAATTCATTCAGATGTTTGGGAGATTCTGTAATAACCTTGACAGGCCAATGTTGAATTCGCAAAAGGGATGTGTAGGCTTTGAGCTCACACAGAGCTCTTCGCCTATCTGCTTCCACAGGACTCTTTGCCTGTGCAATTCAAAAGGGCTGCTTCTTGTTTTGCAGCCTGTCACCCTTCTAGCCCCTCCAGTAACCTTCTCCTCTCTCGCCGCTACCCTTCCAGATGTCTGGTGGGATTTTCTCCCCCTTGGAGAACCTCTGTGACCTGGACAATGCCAACTGCCACCCGCTGGTGTGTTTCCTCTGCCACGAGCAGTACGAACACCCCTGCCTCCTTGACTGCTACCACAACTTCTGTGCCAGCTGCCTACGGGGCCGTGCCATCGAGAGCCGCCTGACGTGTCCACTTTGTGGGTAAGGAAGGACCATCTTGCTCCCCTACGGTCCAGAGATACTTGGGCGATGGGATAAGCAGCCCTTTTTACCGATGGGTTATTGTGGCGCTGTGGGTAAAAGCCTCAGCGCCTAGGGCTTGCTGATCGAAAGGTTGGCTGTTCAAATCCCCACGGCGGGGTGCGCTCCCGTTGCTCGGTCCCAGCGCCTGCCAACCTAGCAGTTCGAAAGCACCTCCGGGTGCAAGTAGATAAACAGGGACCGCTTACTAGCGGGAAGGTAAATGGCGTTTCTGTGTGCGGCTCTGGCTCGACAGAGCAGCAATGTCACGCTGGCCACGTGACCCGGAAGTGTCTCCGGACAGCGCTGGCCCCCGGCCTCTTGAGTGAGATGGGCGCACAACCCTAGAGTCTGTCAAGACTGGTCCGTACGGGCAGGGGTACCTTTACCTTTACCTATTGTACTTCTGCACTAGCCTGGTGCCAGTTTGGAGCCCTTTGCGTGCTGCAAGAAATGCTTGTACAGTAATTTGAGAAATGCATTAAATAAGTAAAGGTTGGTGTGCTGTGAGCCCAAAGGTTCTATCCACAGAGGAGGCTGCCCACTGCATCTCTGCATGAGTCATTGCTCTGACCTTGCGTCCTTCCAACCAATTTCCATCCGGATACTACAGATTTCCATCCAATCAGCAGGATATGGGCATCTTTGGGAGAAACATGCAAGATGGGCACAGCCTGCAGGTTTTGTAGGGCCCATGGGAAGACCCTTCTAGAGCACCCCCTCCATTTGTGTGTCTGCCTCCTCCTCACCCCTATCATCACCAGCTGCTCTCCTCTTCCTTGCTTGCGAAGGAGAGACCCAGTGAGCAAGCCGGTCGTTGCATCTACTGCTCTGCATTGTCTGTATTTTAGAAACCTGCTGCTAATTCTCTCGTTTTATGCTGCTGTGAAAATCTGATTTCTTTCCGCAGGGCCTGTAAGACAGAGTTGTTCCGCCTGGCCTTTGGCTTGGAGCCAATTTGATTCCCTCCCTCCCTCTCTTTCTTTTTTCTTTTCCTTCTCCTCCTGCAATGAGGCTACATTTTAATATTTTAATGTTCCATTATTTTAATGTTGTATTTTATTTTTGTTTTTAAGTTGTAATCATTCATCTTGTTTTTATTATTGCTTGTAAGCCGCTCTGAGCCCGGCCTTGGCTGGGGAGGGCGGGGTATAAATAAAAAATTATTATTATTATTATTATTATTATTTATTATTATTATTGCAATGGTATTTCTACAATTGCCTTGATGTTTATGTTGCATAGTACAGTATTATGTTATGTAGTGACATTGGTACTGTCATGTTGAATGCTTACTGGGACTGGTAGGGCAGAAAGCAAGGAGTCCAACAGTAGGTGGCGCAATAGCCAAAGACAGGAAGAAGTTGAGCTCAGTGACAGATAGAGCTAGCTCATTGTATGTACTGGAGTAGGCAACCTAAGGGCCCAATCACCTTCTCAATCCGCCCGTGGACGGTCCGGGAATCAGTGTGTTCTTACATGAGTAGAATGTGCCCTTTTATTTAAAATGCATCTCTGGGTTATTTGTGGGGCATAGGAATTCATTAATTTCCCCCCCCCCCAAAAAAAATATAGTCCAGCCCCCCACATGGTCTGAGGGACAGTGGACCGGCCCACGGCTGAAAAAGGTTGCTGACCCCTGGTATATACCTTTTGTCCCTATACTCCTCTCTGTTGAGTTCTACAAGGGCAAAACCAAGACACGTACAAATTTGCAGTATTGTGCTAGAACTTTAGGGTTTTGTAACCCTGGGGCAACAAATCACCCTTTAAAAAAGCATCAAACTTCCTTGTGGTTTGGAAAGCAGCAGGAGATGCACTGAAAAGTGTGGGATGAACAAATGATCAACGGGGGGAAATGTATGAATACGCCACAAGCAAATGCACACCGGACAAATGTTCCCTGTGTCATCTCCCGGCAAATAAATCAGAACGGGTGTTCAATAAACATCATCCAACCTCCGTGCCAACTTTGCACAAGCAAACCAGAACATTGGCTGAATAAACATATCTTGTGGAGGGGCCCTAGTAAATCTCTCACTACTGTGAGCCAGGAATAGAGTTTGGGAATTAGCGGAAGAGGAATGAGGCATTGACTTCCTAAAAAGGGAAGCCGTGACCAGGCTAATGCCTGGCCTTTGTCTTCAGTTGTAAGAGACCCATATCAGGTTTGACCGTAGCTGCCAAAGGAATCCGAGGCTTTGTGATTAACCGCCAGGGACAGAAACTGGGAAATAGGAGGGGGTTATTAGGGTCCTCTTCAACATTAAGAAGAGCCCCATTTCCCCACTTTCGGGGTGAGCAGTGTCAGTTTGTCTGTTTCCCCCCTGCCTCCCCCCCCACTGGAAACCAGGGTGCAAATCCGCACTTCTCTCGCCTCTGCGCCTCTGAAACATGAAGCCTCCCATCACACAATGAGCTTCAGGTGTGAACAGCTGCTGAGCTGAATGTCTCCCCTTTTAGCTCCAGCGGAATGCAGTTCAGCAGCAGGAAGGGGGGAAAGAGAGAGAAAGAGAGAAGAGAGTGAGCCGCCTTGGCCAAATCAGGCAAAGGCTTGCAACAGGTGGGGGAGACAAATGCAACCCACCCATTATCTTTTTGTAAAACACTCCAAGGGGTTTTTAAATAATCAAGCCATGTCTACATGTTATGAAATAAATAAAAATAAAATAAAAATAAAAATAGTTAAAGCTTGTTCATTTACACACCTGGTTTTCCTGTCCATAAGGAAATCGATCTTATACCTGTTTGCTGAGAAGCAAGTTTCATTGTGTTCCATGGGGATTATTTCCACCCACTTAGCTCTGAGGGCTCATCCAAAGGTCCCTTCTTCTTGTGCATTCGTGACGAGTTACTCTCAGTCCTATGTGATCAACACCTGCATATATTTTTGGGACAGTCACACTGCTTCATTTCCAATCAGTGCATAACCCATAACTTCCTGCTAAAGTCCTATAATGTTAAATACAACAAATATTCTGGGGGTTTTGCTTCTTTGCCTCCCTCTGGGTGGCAGTAATGCAGTAGCACTGGGAAGCACCGCAGAGTAGAATAAATCCACCACGAATGCAGCATTATTCTGTCATTAACTTTTTAGCTGTGATTCCTGCATTGTGGTGGGTTGGAATAGATGACCCTTGGAATCCCTTCCAACTTTACAGTTCTGTGATTCTGTGTTGCAGAAAGTGCCCAGGACAATAAAGCACCATATCTCAACATCCTTGCATGAGTCTTCCTGTGTTATTTTGACATCATCCTTCCCAGGGCTTCCTCTTTCTCCCTGTGTCTTCCTTCTGCAGCCACCAGTCCATTGTCAGGGGGAATGGCCTCCCTCCAGAAGACCGGCTCCTGAAGTTCCTGGTGGACAGCTCTGGGGATTGTGAGGAGGAGGTCCAGTGTGCAAATTGTGACTTGCAGAGTACAAAGCAGGTAAGCAGAGAGGGCGGCAAAGAAGGCCTTTGAAGGTCAAGACCAGTGTTTGGGATTCAGCCAGAACTAGGAATGGGCAAATCTGCCCATTTCATTTTCTTTCCATTTCTAGTTTTGTCCAGTCTTTGTTTAGTCCTCCACATTTCCACACCAGTGTGCCATTTTTTTTAAAAAAATATTATCTTGAAAATTCATCAGCTTTTTAGTGTGCATTTCTTCTAATGCTACACCTGCCTGTAAGCAATTCTGTATACTATTGTTGAATGGTTTCTTTAAATGTAAAGGTTCATCATTGTTCCACCCGATGTGTATGTCTTTAAGGGGCCAGAGCAAGGACCAGAGCAAATAACAAGACCCAGCCTTACAGCTGTGAAACATAGCAGGTGCTGCTGAGTTGTGTTAATCAAGCTGTGTCAGCAATTGGGTGTAGTATACAAGGAGCAGCACCTAGCTCTCCCATCACCCTGGGGGATGGGTTGGTGGTTGGGTCTGGTTTGTTGTTGATGTATTTAGTGTATAAGGAGTTTTTGTTTTTGTTATTAAAACCTTGTTTAAGTTATTTTTGAGTCCCTTTTTAATGCATGGTCTCCACAGCAAGCTCTCTTCAGTGCTACTAAACTGCAAATAGCCAACAACTATACACATTTTTTTGCAAGGCCATTCTCCCAAATATAATGCATTTTTGTATGTTAATCTCACTTAATATATGCATTTTAAACATACCGCTCAACTGTCCTACTAAGCAGGACATCCTGGAATTACCGAAGCCATCCTGGCTTCTGATTGGATCCTGGGTTGCCCCATTTTGGCTTCCATGAGAGCGTGGCCCCAAAAGACACACATCCCAATTTTCCTCTGCGGCATCTTGGAGGGTATGTTTTAATGCACACTTTCCCCTATTCCAAGTATTTCTGTACTTGCTTCTTAGCTGGAGAACTGCATTGTGAAATTCAGAGAAGTGGGAATTTGAAAGGAGATCTGTGTTTTTTGTCCAAAGGTGCAAGTTAGGTAAAGGTAAAGGGACCCCCAGATCATTAGGTCCAGTTTTGACCAACTTTGGGGTTGCGGCGCTCAACTTGCTTTATTGGCCGAGGGAGCCATGTGGCCAGCATGCCTAAGCCGCTTCTGGCGAACCAGAGCAGTGCACGGAAACACCGCTTACCTTCCTGCCGGAGTGGTACCTATTTATCTACTTGCACTTTGTGCTTTCAAACTGCTAGGTTGGCAGGAGCAGGGACCAAGCAATGGGAGCTCACCCCATCACGGGGATTCGAACCGCCGACCTTCTGATCGGCAAGTCCTAGGCTCAGTGGTTTAACCCACAGCGCCACCCGTGCAAGTTAGTTAGGCTCAAATGGAATTTCTCCAGCCTTTTCACGAGAAGCAGTCAAAAACTGTCAAACTGCTGTTTTAAAAATTGCCTGTGTTGAAATCTATGCTGCGGTGCACATCCTGGGGCACCCACTGTTGCCACTGAATAAAATGTTCTGCCAGTGTGTGGTGGTGGCCCAGGCATGCCAACCAGAGCTTTGCCCTCTAACCCCACACCTCCCCTAGGACTTGGACGCCATGTATTTTTGCAATACCTGCCACCAGCCTCTCTGCTCCAAGTGCCGCGAGGAGACCCACAAAGCCAGAATGTTCTCCCGCCACGAGATCGTCTCCCTGACCAAGCGTATCAAAGACATCCACAAGAAATGTTGTAAGTGTCTTTCCCATAGCCTTCCTTAAGCTAGGTTGGCAGGCGCTGGGACCGAACGACAGGAGCGCACCCCTCCGCAGGGATTCGAACCACCGACCATGCGATCGGCAAGTCCTAGGCGCTGAGGTTTTACCCACAGCGCCACCCGCGTCTTTCCAATAGCCTTCCTTAACTTTCTGGAACGATCGAGGGAGTTGGGTTTGCTTAGCCGAGAGAAGACTGAGAGGGGATAGGGTAGTTTTTTTCTTCAAATATCTAAGGTCCATTACATGGAAGATGGAGCAAGCTGGTTTTCTGCTGCTTCTTCAGAGGGGAAAGACCTGAACAAATTGATTCAGATTACAGGGAAGGAGATTCTGAATAAACATTAAGAACTTTTCGATAGAGCTGTTTCTATTTACAGGGCATGTCATAGAATTAAAGAATTGTCCAGCTGGAAGGGACCCTGAGAGTTATTAAGTTCAACTTCCATTAATTGGAACTGCTGGTCTCCCATCCAATTTGAAACCACACCAGATCCTGCTTAGCTTCACAAGCATGCCAGCAGTTTTATTGCTACACCACTAGGAGGTGGTTCAATAGGGTTGTTTGATAGTAGAATGTACTCCCTCAGAAGATGGTGGAGGTTTTTTTCTTTTTTGTCTATTTCTTTTTATTATTTCAAGCTTAAAAGTGACACCTGTGTCTCTTTCAGCACTTCACGAGGAACTCTACATCATGTTCTCAACAGAGAAAAAGTCCATGCTCTGCATCAACTGCTTTCGGGACATGCCCGTGTGAGTTGCTGTTATTTCATATCTACATCACGAGCTATCGATGGGGCATGGCTTTTTGCAGGAAACAGGAAGAGAGGTCCCTGCTCTGAGGTGGAGCTTAGCATCTAGAGGGGTTCTCCAGATATTTTGAACTGCAATTCCCATCCGCCTAAGCCAGGCTGCCAAAGTTTGGTCTAAAGACTGATAGCAGGGAGAGAACAGAGAAAGGACAAAGCAGTAAATGGCAAAATATGCTCTTATGAAGATTTAAATTTCAGTGCATCTGGGGAGAAGTTGAAGACTTCATGGACCAGGGAGGGGGGTGTTGAAGAAGTGAAAAGAGGGAAATGGCACCACATCCAGGATCTAGGAGGGTATTCCAGGCATCAGAGGATGCAAAACAGGTGGTACAATAGCCTGAGAGAATGGAAAACCCAGGAAATATCTTCTTAAGGCTGCCTCCAGACTTTCGTTGCTACTTTCTGGGGAGTGCAGTTCATTCACATACTGGCAAATTCAGGCTGCACATCTACAGTTGATCAGGGGCACTTGTGTAACCAAACCCACTTCCCTAAGAGACTGGATTTTTTCCGGTAAGCGATAGGAAAACCGGAAGGGTGGGATAAGAACTACCTTTGACACAAGATCATGGAACCTCACTGCAAACATATCAGGATAAATGCACAATGAGCAGGTCATCTGGAAGCACGCTTAATTTTGTTGGGTTGGTTTTGTTTTTAAGGCAAAGTAAAAAAGGGGGGAGAGAAAAAGCATTTCGGGAAAAACAAACTGAGATAATGGAATTGCTAAATGAATATTATGATTTTTTTTATAAAAAAAAAACCAAGATCAAAAAGAGTTGCCCGCTGAACCCTAATGGGTTTGATACACACATCTGCAAAGGAAGCATTGCTGCATTTATATAACGTGCATAATGAGCCAGTGGAACTCCTTGCCACAGGATATGCTTTTCTAAAAGAAAGAAAGAAAGCTGTCATGTTGTGGATGACAAAGACTTAATATTCCTTAATATCGGAAGCTTCCTTAAATAGCAAGTTTTGGTCCATTTAGCTCAGTGTTGTCGACACTGACTGGTAGCAGCTGTCCAAGAATACAGACTGGGGACATATCCAGACCTTCCTGGAGCTGGGGATTGAACCCAGGGCCTTCTGCATGCAAAACAAGATACTCCACCGCTGAGCCACAGCGCTTCCCCTCTGATACCTCCTTCTCTGGTCTTTCCTCCTCCAGGGAGAGTCGAGCGCATTGCATCGATATTGAGACTGCGTATATGCAGGGCTGTGAGAAGCTAGACCAGGCCGTGATGGTGGGTATAAAAACTGAAGAGGTTTCACTGAGGGGGTGGGGGTGGGCTGTGGCAGGGAGACGCTTTATCTTAATGCAACCCCAGCAGAATCATCTGGTCACGGTTATTCCCAGGTCATCTTGGAGCAGGCCCAACTTCCCTGTTTTTTGACGATGGCAGCCTTCACCTGATGATTTAGATTACAACTCCCATCCACCCCACTGTGCTTGCTGGGACTGATGGGAATTGTGGTCCATCGTTTCTGGAAGGCTGTGGATTTGGGAACTGATACAGTTGTGTGAGGGACACGGGTGGTGCTGTGGGTTAAACCACAGAGCCTAGGACTTGCCGATCAGAAGGTCGGCAGTTCGAATCCCCGCGACGGGGTGAGCTCCCGCTGCTCTGTCCCTGCTCCTGCCAACCTAGCAGTTCGAAAAGCACACCAGTGCAAGTAGATAAATAGGGACCGCTCCGGAGGGGAAGGTAAACGGCGTTTCCGTGCACTGCTCTGGTTCGCCAGAAGCGGCTTAGTCATGCTGGCCACATGACCAGGAAGCTGTACGCTGGCTCCCTCGGCCAATAAAGCGAGATGAGCGCCGCAACCCCAGAGTCAGTCACGACTGGACCTAATGGTCAGGGTCCTTTACCTTTACCTTTACCTTTACTCACAGTTGTGTGAATGCTTTTCCTGGCTAGGAGACTTAAGGCATCTGTTTTGTGAATGGGCTCCAGGTTGAGATTTGGGTGAAGGAGCTCTGAATAACAGAATGTACATCTAGTAACCTTTGATGTAAGTTGATTTTTAAAGGGGGAGGGTAGAATCAGCCTTTGCCAACCTGGTGCCCCCAGATGCTTTGGACTACAACTCCCACCCTCTGTGCTAGCTGGGGCCGATGAGGGCTGGTAGGACCCAAACCAATGGATTCAAATGACAGGACAGACTGTCAGAAGGCGGCGGACTCTCCTTCATTGGAGATATTTAAGCAGATATTTAAGCAGAGGTTGAGCAGCTATTGTCGGGGATTCTTGAGCTGTGATTCCTGCATTGCAGGGAGTTGGACTAGATGATCCTTTAAATCTTTTCCGATGCTGCAATTCTATGATTCTTAATCTTGCCCTTTCCATGGGGTCTGCTCTGCTCCCCTACTGATAACGCCTGCGGTTTTCAACACTCGCCTTTTCTGCCCTGCGACTCAGGCTGTGAAAGAGCTCCAGACATCCACCAGGGAGGCGATAGTGCTCCTCAAAGCCATGATCGAGGAGGTCCGCAACAGTGCAGACGAGGAGGAGACATCTATAAACTCGCTCTTCAGCAGCATGCAGGTGAATTGCGGCCGGGAAGGGTCACTTGCAGCCTTGGTGCTTGAGTCTGCCTGCAGGGGGCGCTCTCTGAGGCAGCAACCTACCCCCTAGAAGCCCAGTTGTGGTGGAAGGAGGGAGGCTGCCTAGTGCTTGATGTGAGGAACAGTCCATCTCTCTCTCTCTCTCTCTCTCTCTCTCTCTCTCTTTTCCGCAGGAGAAATTGGCAGAGCGGAAGAAGATGCTTTTGAAAGTCGTTCAGAGGTAAAAGTGGTCCCATGCTCAAACTCCTTGCTACATGTCTTGTCTGGTTTTTTCCCCGTTGGCAGAAAAGATGCAGGAGTGCCTCGGGGCTTATCCAAACAAAACTTTAGTATAGTGACAACAACCCACACAGACCTTGCTCATGTGTTGTGAAGGATTTATTCAGGACAGATAAAAAGAAAGGACTTCTTCATGCAGCACGTAGTTAAACTTTGGAACTCCCTCCCACAGGAGGTTGACCTCTGTGAGAACAGGATGCTAGACTTGACAGGCCTTTGGCTTGATCCAGCAGGGCTCTTTTTATGGAGGTCTATTGTCACAGTGGGATGCGGGTGGGGCTGTGGTCTAAACCACTGAGCCTAGGACTTGCCGATCAGAAGGTCGGCAGTTTGAATCCCCGCGATGGGGTGAGCTCCCGTTGCTCGGTCCCAGCTCCTGCCAACCTAGCAGTTCGAAAGCATGAAGTGCAAGTAGATAAATAGGTACCACTCCGGCAGGAAGGTAAACGGCGTTTCCTCGCCAGAAAGTGGCTTAGTCATGCTGACCACATGACCCAGAAGCTGTATGCCGGCTCCCTCAGTCAATAAAGCAAGATAAGCACTGCAACACCAGAGTTAGTCACAACTGGACCCAATGGTCAGGGGTTCCTTTACCTTTACCTTTTATTAAGAGGAATGGAAGTTTCTCTGGCTGCTTCAGATGCATTTTAAATATCATCGGCTAGCACATTTCAGGTTCGTTCCCACCTCTGTAACTGTGGAGCTCTCTCATTTTGTGCATAAGCAGCCTTATAATAGGATCAATATTTTATTTTATTGTCATTTCCAGCCAGTATGAAGAAAAGGAAAAAGCCTTCAAGGAACAGCTGGCACACCTGGCATCTTTGCTGCCCACCCTACAGGTAAAGCACCTGAGTCGGGAGGGTGGCCATTTCTCCCCCCACCCTCAAAAAGGAAGGCTCTCTGCACTTTAACAGTAATGTGGCAGGCAAGAATTCAACAGTCACAGTCACCATATCTCAGCCTTGCTTACCTCACAGGGTGCTTGTGAGGACAAAACGATGGGTGCTTCCTTGAGCGTGAGGTGGGGAGGGTGCAAATTTGAGTAAACAAACAAAAATACACCCAATCTGAACGGCAGAGGTGAAGACGAGAATCCCACTTTCTATATTTGCATTGCATTATTTTTATTTACACTGCACCCAAACCTTCAAGGTCAGGTAAGGTACCATCACCCTCGTTTCCTAAAATTATATGTCAAGTTTTGCCAGAGTTTGGAAGCACTTGGAAGTCTCATGAGATAAAACGTATAATGGCAGGTTGTGGTTGGACTGACACCAAAATTGAGTGAGGTTTAGGTCTTCATGGAAGCCAAGCAGTCTAAGGTGAGGGAGCCCTGTCTCCCCACCCCCCCAGAGGGAAGGAGGCATATATAGCCTACTCAGTGGTGAGAGAAACACCCTTTGCACATGCTCAGAGGCCCTCTCGGTGCCTCTGCTCCAAGTACTCATAGTTTTGGTATTTGCACAGGTGTCATGTTTCCTTTCCTCTCCTCTTCAGGTCCACCTGGTGACGTGCTCTGCTTTCCTCAGCTCTGCAAACAAGGCTGAATTCCTTGATTTAGGCTATGTAAGTCATCACCCCAAATTCAAATACCACCCCCCTTATCACAGCTGCCTCTGTGGGTACTCAGGTGAGGCGCAAAGCCCTTCTTGTGAGTTTCCAGGGCAAGAAAAGTACTTTGGAGATGCTCAGAAGCACCTGATGGTTATGAATCTTTGTACTTCCATCAAGAAAAAGAGGATAGAGCCCTGCCCCAAGGAGTTTACAAACCAAACTTTGACACAGGGAAGACAAGGGAGGAAATGGTAGCTTGGGGATCAGGGGAGAAGAAGGTACATTTAATTCAGCTGTGTAGACACAGCAGCAGCAGAGTTTGGGGGCTCAGGGGTTATGTCAAGGACTCTGGTGTTAGAAGCAGTTAGAAAGAAAGAAGTAGCTAAGGAGATCATAGAACTGTAGAGTTGGAAGGGGCCGCATCCAGCCTCCTACAATGCAAAAATCACAGCTAAAGAATCCCTGACAGATGGCCAGGTGGTTCTTGTTCTGGACCAGAAACAGTCACGGGGCAGGGACTGCTTTCACAACGGAGGGCGGCATTTCATAGAACTGACCCAATCATCCACATTTCTGTTTTCAGCAACTGATGGAGAGGCTGCAAAAAATCGTCAAGCTGCCCCATCGACTGAGGCCCTCCCAGACGAGCAAGGTACAAGTTTCTGCTCTTCCCTGCTGAGCCAACCTAGCAAGTCCAGGCACCCAGAGAGCATTTGAGCAAATGTTCACCCCCCTTTCCCTCTGGGGTCATGCCTGTTTCATCTATCAGTTTTTCATGGGAAGATCACCTGGCAAACCAGACATAGTCTGCGCCATGAGGTCTAACGGCACACCTGTAAAGCCACATTTGGGCGTTTGCTTTAACTCCAGATTCTGTACCTGAGGCTTTCCAGAGTTTTGCGGGAGACAAAGATGAGGCTGCCTACACCCCATAGGCGTGTCTTCACAGACAAGACCCTCTCCTGGATTGCACCCCCTTTCCACAAGCCTCTGAGGGCAAAAGAACTATCAAAAGGGCCCCTCTGCCAAACGCAGACTATAGAAGGATTGCAAGGAAGGAGGCACGTCTTTGAGATATTTCTGAGTCTTGTAGATTTAAATACCAATGTGAGCACCTTGAATTGGGCCTGGCAACCAACTGGCAAGCAGTGCATTTGTTTTTAAACAGGGGTTATATTGAGATCCAAACAGAACCTCAGCCAGTAATCTGACCACTGCATTTTGGACCACTTGAAGTTTCCGTGTCGCCTTCAAGGGCAGCCCCAAGTAGAGTGCATTGCAGTAATCCAATCTGGAAGTTGCCAGAGCATGGACTACGGTGGCCTCGTGTTTACCTTGACACGTAGTCCTGTCCAGACAGTCCTCTTATATCCATGTGCAGGAGAAGGCTTGCAACTCTGGGAGCTCTCAGAATGACAACTCATCTTAATTGGTTTCCCTTCCAGATCAACACGGAATACAGAGCTGAGTTTGCCCATTGCCTGGAGCCCTTGCTGCTTCTAGCGCCCCGTCGCTCCGTGGTGGTGAATGGAGCGGGCATCGGACCTGGGATGAGCAACAGTAACATGTAAGCTGCTCCCAAGCCCTGCTTCATCTGTGGCAACCTACCTTCCCCAGATGTTTTGGACTACGAGCCCCATCATCCACTGCCAGCAAACACAGGCAATGGCTGATGGGAGTTGTAGTCCAAAACTCCTGGAGGACACAACGTTGGGAAAGGGGGATCTGTGAGGAGGGAAATGCAGTGAAGTATTTTAAAACAAAGGTGGATTATGCAAAGCTGAATACGGGTTGGAGAGATTTTGAAGCCCAAATTTCTCTTACCTGCCTTTGAGCTGGGCACCAGGCACCCTTGGAGACAAAAAGAGCTGTCCTGATTAGCAAGCAGATCAGATGGGCTGGCAGTGCCAGTTCCAGGAAGCCAAGCTGGCTGGTTGGGAGGCTGTTGCGTCAGAGAGTCCCAGTGCAGCTGGCACCCAATTGAACATAGGAAAGTGAAGAACGCTGTTTCTGTTTCTTTGGGATGTGGAGCAAGGAAACTAGCTCCAGCAATTGTAGCAAAGAGGCTCCAGGGATGGGGCAGAAAATTGTTTGCATTTAGATGCAAATTTACCTACTGACTTCTCACTTTGTGAAACAATACTACCTTCAAAATTTGCCCTCCTTTGAATTTTGCCCTTCTCCAGCAGGCATTAAAAATATGCATTAAAATGCACATATTTGTAAAAATAACATGCAGAAATGCATTATATTAGGGGAAACTGCTCTGCAAACATTGCAGAGAAGCATGCGCATATAAGGAGAAATTTGCACCAAAGTGCTGATGAATTTTTTTGAGGACTTTTTTTTTTTTTGTAAACTGATGTGGAAATGTAGAAAACCAAAAAATTAGAAAGATGAGAAACTAAGAGAAACTGAAACGGACGTATTTGCCCATCTAGTGCAGACTTGCTTGAAAATAATCCTTTCTGTTCTGGCAAACAATTTCATTTGCTTGCCTTACACACACATTGCATCTCCAAACGTTGCTGAATGCATTTGGAGTTGGTGTAGCTCTTCTGCAACCAGCTACACTGCAAAATCAAACTTTTTAGTAAGAATATTCTTAGGCGGGGTGGGTGGGGATAAGCTAATACATTTATTGTGGCTTTCATTGAAGGGATTCCATAAGCATGTTCGCTTCACTGCAGCCTTGTTTCTGCTGCAAGAGACTTAAACAGTTACACCTGTGTCAGCTTAAAAAAAGAAGAAAAGAAGAAAACGTTTTGGTCAGTTAACATAATTGGAGGCAAATAAGTGACCTCCATCTTTGCACGTTCGTGCATCTGGAGTCCTGATCCTTGCTGTGCAAACAAGCGTTTGAGGGCTGCTAGTTTGGGAGGGAGGAAACGGGAGACTGGTGTGACGACCATGGCCAACAGTCTGCTTGCACCATACCACAGCCTCCAGGCAGGAACAGTCTACCTGAGTGATAAGAATTTTGGAATTCCAGCAGTTAAACTACGGAACTCTCTCCCACTGGAGGCAGTGATGGCCGCCAACTTGGGTACCATTGCAAGAGGATTTGGCAAACAAATTCATGGAGGAGATGGGCTAGTGATGGCTACTGGCCAGGTGGGCTCTGCCCTGAACAAAAGTTGCTGGAAGTCCCAGGAGGGGAGAGTGCTGCTCTTGTGTTCGGATCCTGCTTGCTGGTTTCCTACAGGCATCTGATCGGCCACTGTGAGAACAGGATGCTGGAATAATGAGTCATGGTCCTCATCCAGCAGGGCTCTTCCTTAAGTTCTTATCTGCAACATAGTAAAGGTAAAGGGACCCCTGACCATTAGGTCCAGTTGTGGCCGACTTTGGGGTTGCAGTGCTCATCTCACTTTACTGGCCGAGGGAGCCAGCATACAGCATACATGTGGCCAGCATGACTAAGCCGCTTCTGGCGAACCAGAGCAGCGCACGGAAACAATGTTTACCTTCCCGCTGGAGCGGTACCTATTTATCTACTTGCACTTTGACGTGCTTTCGAACTGCTAGGTTGGCAGGAGCAGGGACTGAGCAACAGGAGCTCACCCCATTGCGGGGATTCGAACCGCCGACCTTCTGATCGGCAAGTCCTAGGCTCTGTGGTTTAACCCACAGCGCCACCCACCACTGATTCCTGGAATGGGGTAAGTGGTGTCAGCTGAGGAGCCTCCCCCAGGTATCAAAACATCCTACTACAACTGCAGTACTTGGGTCTGGAATGGTTGAGAGCCCTAGAAAACAGCAACACCCCGATGCGTCTTGCTTTTGGCGCTCAGCTAGCGTGCCTGTTGCCTTTGTCTGCCTGACCACCTTCATGCCCCAACCTACATGAGAAGAAGATGGCAAACCCAGTGGATCCTTGCACACATCCCAGCCTGCCTGGCTAGCAGTTTGCCCGTCCCTATTTTTATCAGAATTTCAGAGAACTCTGCAAAGCACATTTCCCTGGCACTGGATATATTTAGGACCATTGACATCACAGGCCCCTCTGCTCTGGTGCAGCTGATTGCTGTGCAGGCAGGGACGGCCCTCTCCCAAAGCACTGGGGGCAAAGTGATGGGTTGGGCCGGGGGTCTTCAGGATCCCCTTTCCCTCCAAAGGGAAACTGAGGCTGAGAGCATTGGATGGGGAGTGCCAAGTGCCTGGCTGAGGGGAAAGGCCAAGCAGAATCTGCAGGGAGTCCCCATCTGCCGGTCTGGATGAACCTTCTGATCCGTAAGTGGCGATCTGAGCATCTGTCTTGGCTGTGGGATGAGTCAGTGGGAAGGACTGTCAGGCTGCAGCCGGGCTCTTTTTAATTTGGTTGTGGGTGGAGGGTTTGTTACATCACAATTAATTGCCAGATAGTCCTTTACTGGTGTAGATGGACCAGTCTTTGACTCATGACGCTTCCAGGTAGGTGTGTGTGTGTTGAGTATGTGTGTGATAATGATTAATTTCATTTATAGATTGCTCTCTGTGCAGCCTATCAAAGCCATTTTGCAATCCAATAAAAACATACACGAAATACATTGCATATTTAAAAACAGCTTTAAAATCATTGCATGTCTTTCTTTCTTTCTTTCTTTCTTTCTTTCTTTCTTTCTTTCTTTCTTTTTTAAAAAAGGTCAACACAGTAACATATATGAAAAACAATTTCAAATCCAATACTGCGATATTGCAAAGGGGCTGCTGAGATACCGCAAAGGGTGTTGCTTCACAGTGGTGTTTATTATGGGATGCATGCACATTTTGCCAAGTGTCAAAACACCGTTGGCATCAAAAAGCCAGTTTGTATTGCTCACTGACTCTACCCACTTAACCCAGATTTACATTTTCTTGGAAAAATTACTGTTTGCCAGTGAACCGCTTGTGATATCAGCCTGGCTTGTTTGCTATATGAAACCCCTGCCTGGAACCAGCCTTGGTCATCGGCAATAGCTTCCTTTTGTTTTTAACTCCCATCAGATTTTCCTTGGAAAAAATAACTCTGGATTAACTGGTGGTGGTGGTGGGATTTGGGCTGGGATTTTGACAATGACGTCGTGTGGCTACAGCCCAAAACTGACATGTGTGCAGACCATCCATCCCACAACAGGCGACATAATCAAAGCTTATAAAATAACGCGTGGCCTGGAGGAAGTGAATGGAGGAAAGTTTTCCTCCCTCACTTATAACCCTAGGAATTTGTGGACACTCCAATGAAGCTGAATGTTAGAAGATGCAGGACAGATAAAAGAAAGTCCTAATTCACAGCACAGAGCTAAACTGTGGAACTCCCTCCCACAGGAGGCTGTGATGGCCACCAGCTTGGATGGCTGTAAAAGAGGATTAGACAAATTCATGGAGGAGAGGGCTATCGATAGCTACTAGCCATGATGGCTATGCTCTGACTTCATGGTCAGAGGCAGTGATGCTTCTGAATACCAGTTGCTAGAAGCCACAAGATGGGAAAGTGCTCTTGTGTTTGGGTCCTGCTTGCTGGTTTCTTACAAGCAACTGGTTGGCTGCTATGAGAACAGGATGCTGGACCAGATGGGCCATCGGTCTGAAACAAAAGGGCTCTTCTTGTGGCCTTACGATACGATAATCTTTATTGTCATTGTCCCATACAGAGCAACGAAATTGAAAAAATCTACATAAGACATTCAAAAAGCAACAAGCCTGCTATCCCAGCTATCCCAGCCTGGTTAGCCCCCTAAAAACTCTGATACCCCATAATTAAATACAACATACTCCTATAAAGACTCCTTACACTGCGTTTAAAAGATTTGGATAGAAACTGTTTCTCAGGCGGCTAGTCCTAGTGTTTATAACCCTGTACCTTCTTCCAGAAGGCAGAAGCTGAAAGAGATCATTTCCAGGGTGTGAACTATCCTGCGCTATCTCTGCAGCTTTCCTATGGCTCCTGGAAGCATAGATTTGATCCAAGGTGGGAAGAGTGCACCCAATTATTCTCTCCGCAGTCTTTACAACCCTGGACAGGATTGTTTTTTCCCTTACAACACACACCTGCTGCAGAAGCAGCCTTGCCACATCTTCCAATGCACTTTGTTCCCCCTTAAGCAACACACCTGATGATGAGTGCTGAGATCCAAAGCCATTGCCTTCTGGAGCCTCTCGCTTAGGGACTCCTCCTCTCTTCAGCTGGCTCCCTCTTCTTCCTCCAGGATGTCCGGAGGTCCCTGCTCCAAGACCCTTCTTGTGTCCGGCTGCCCCTCTACCTGCGAAAAGATGTCCCTGGCAGGCTCCCTGGTCCGGAAGCCCACCATGCACCGGTACATAAGCACCAAGGTGCTCCTGGCTGAAGGTGGAGAGACACCCTTCACCGAGCATTGCCGCAACTACGAGAACATGTATCGGGTAAGGATGGCGGGGCAAGGGAGAGGATGGTGATGGTGGGCACCTGGTGATAGTGGGCACCTTGCCCTGGGCACCTGCGGGAGCAAGCCAGCACCGCTGTTGGAGATGCTGCTCAGTCTTGCAACAGAGCAGGTCAAGATGAATCAGCAGGGCCAGCCAATGAATGTATTTGTGCATGCACACACACACAGACACACACGTGTGAATGCAAAATAAGAAGTCAGGAGCATTATAGCCTGACCATTATAGCCCATGTTTTGGTGACCTCGAGGCTGGATTACTGCAATGTGCTCTATATGGGGCTGCCTTTGGGTCTGGTTTGGAAGCTTCAGCTGCTGCAGAATGCAGTGGCCAGATAGCTGATGGGAGCTTCTGGCTGAGAACATGGGGCACCAGCTGTGCCTGCCCATCTACTACTGGGCCAGGTTCAAGGTCCTTGTGTTAATTAACAAAGCCCTGAACAACTTAGGTCCAGGGTGCTTCAGGGAATGCCTGAACCCTTATATCCCCAGCTTGATCACTGAGATAATCTGCAAGAGTATTGTTGGTTGTTCCTCGAGTTGGCGAGACTCCTTTGACCATAACAAGGAACCGAGCCTTTAGAGCCATCAACCCTGACCTGTGGAACATTCTGTCACTAGATTCAGAAGCCAACCTTCTGTGCCAACTTTTAAATGCCTGTTGAAAACTTTTCTGTTCCGCCAAGCCTATGCAGGCACTTACAAATGCATTCTTCCGCAATTATTATTAATTAAATTTGTATACCGCTCTTCACTAGTATGAATGAAAGCGAACATTAAAAGCATAAAAAGTTAAAAACAAACATCCGTTGCTGATGTTTGTTTTTAGCTTTTTATGTTTTTAATGTTTGCTTTCAGGTTTAGTATTGTTGCAAACATCTCATATATGTTTTTCTGATATAGTGGTATAGAAATATTTTTTACAAATAATAGTAAGTCATAAATTCCCTCCCCCGGTTTGGCAAAAAGGAAGTTTTCAGCATTCTCTTGCTGATCCTTCCGCCTCGTCAACTGGAGCCTTTCGAACTTGCTTCCTCTCCCCCCCCCCCCCCGTGTTGCTGCAGACCCTTCAAATAGAGATTCAGAACTTGAAGGATCAGGTGCAGGAGCTGCACCGCGACCTCACCAAGCACCATTCCCTCATCAAGACGGAGATCATGAGTGAGATCCTGCAGAAGTCGCTGCAGATGGACGTGCAGATTGCTTCAGAGTATTCCTCTGTGGAGATGATGCGGAGCGTGTTTGAAGAGGTACGCTGACTTTCTCAGGCTGCAGAATCCTGCAGCAACTATGCAATCACAGTACACACACATGCACAAAATCCCCTCACTTGAGGAGCATGTGCTGATAACTCCGACTTTGTCTTTTGCAGACCTGGGAAGAAACCTATCAGCGAGTGGCAAATGAGCAAGAGATTTATGAAGGTGAGCACAATATGAACTTCTCTGAAGCCATGCAACCCCACCGATCAGTGGTAGCTGGTAACCTTTTTGACTTGGTAGGGCTGCAGTATTATACCTTGCTGTAGGTATAATAAGGACTTGTGTAGGAAGGTGTGCCATTGCACATGTGCAGAGTGCCATTATTTCCTCCTCTCTGAAATACAAACCCTTGATTATTACTCTGTACATCTATGGACGGGAAAAGAACTTCCATGTAAGAAGGCCAAGTACACTTTTCAGAAAAGAATGACTTCATGCCTCTTATTTAGAAACGTAGCCATGTTGCATAAGGTTTTGAATTCGTGTATGGAGAACCACAAGCTTAACTTGAGTCAACAGTGTGATGGAGCTGCAGAAAAGTAAAAGCTAATGCAATTCTAGGCTGCATTGACAGAAGTATAGCATCTAGAAGTAATAGTAGTGCTCTATTCTGCCTTGGTCAGACCACACCAGGAGTCCTGCATCCAGTTCTGGGCCTCACAGTTTAAGAAACATATTTACAAACTGCAAGGTTTAAGAAACATATTTACAGTTTAAGAAACATATTTACAAACCAAGACGATCAAGGGCCTGGAAACCAAACCTTGTGAGGAACAGCTGACAAAGTTGGGTATGTTTAGCCGGGAGAGTGAGAGGAGATATGATAGCTATCTTCAAATAGCTGGAGGGTTGTCACATGGAAGATGGAGCCAGCTTGTTTTCTGCTGCCCCAGAGGACAGGACCCAAACCAATGGATTCTAGTGACAACAAAGGAGATGCCAAATAAACATCAGGAAGGACTTTCTGACAGTAAGAGCCATTTGACAGTGGAACGGACTCCCCCAGGTGGTGGTGGACTCTAGGCTTTTAAGCAGAGGTTGGATGGCCACTTGCCAGGGATTCTTTAGCTGTGATTCCTGCACTGCAAGGGGTTGGTCTACATGAGCCTTTGGGAGTCCCTTCCAACTCTACAGTTCTATGATTCTGTGTACCTATGCTTATTGTGTGAAAGGGCCAATCCTTTGGGCTTGACTGACTTAACGTCAGACTTCCTTCTCATGCAGCACAGCTCCATGATCTGTTGCAGCTCAAGCAGGAGAACAGCTACCTGACAACCATCACCAAGCAGATCGCCCCTTATGTCCACTCCATCGCCAAAGTAAAGGAGCGGCTGGAGCCCAGGTGAGGAAGCCGAGAGCCCAGTCCACTGCTGCTTTCCTGCTCCGCTCCCAGATCCTGCACAAGTTTGTCTTCAAAAACCTCCACTGCCTTATCTCCAGAGGGGAGGATCGGAACCGATAGATTCAAGTGACAAGGAATTAAACATTAATTTGATTAAACATTAGGAAGCCATTCAGCAGTGACAGGGACAACCTTGGAAGGTGGTGGAATCTCCTTCATTGGAAGTTTGAAAAGCAGAGGTTGGATGGCCATCTGCCAGGGGTGCTTGAGCTGCGATACCTGCATTGCAGCTGGTTGGCATAGATGACTTGGCCCCTGAATTGTAAATCCCCATTGTGCTTCATAAAACACCCATAGCTAAAGGAATATGTAGTCTGGCAGAGAGATGATCAAGCCTTGTGACTGGAGGGAGGAGGGACCCTCTGTCCTCCAGAAATCTCTTTTGCTCCAACCCTGTCAAGGTGTATGGCTTTAATCAGCAGGTATTTGTGGTACATCTCTTGAGTCAGCTTCCCCCATGCCAAAGCCCCCAACTCAGCCCAAATATCCCTTCAGGTTACAGGACACAAAGGAGGAGAGGAATGGCCAGCCAGAGAGCTTGCTGAAAATATACGATGAGAGCCCAGAGGCTGCTGACGTCCAGCACAGGTATCTGATCCATTTCAGGTAGCAAAGAAGTTTGGTTCTATGTTGATGCCACAATACCATAGGAGCAAAAAGGTGAAGATTCAATCTGTTGTTTTCCAAGTGGCCACTCCTCAGGGGATGCAGGTTAACTAAGTGACCTGGTCAGTCAGCCATCAGTGTTCGTTTGGGAGGGAAAATACTTGACCTAAGAGACTGGTTTCAAAAGGAAGCACTAGCAGTTTCATGCTTCAGGGTAAAGAGACAAATTCATGGAGGAGAGGGCTATCAAGGGCTACTAGTCATGATGGTCATGCTCTGCCTCCACAGCTGGAGGCAGCAATGCTTCTGAATACATTGCTAGAAGCCACAGGAGGGGAGAGGGCTCTTAGACTCGGATCCCGCTTGCAGAATTCCCACTGGGGCACCTGGTTGGCGACTGTGAGAACAGGATGCTGGACTAGATGGGCCATTGGTCTAGACCAGGCTTCCTCAAACTCGACCCTCCATATGTTTTTGGCCTACAACTCCCATGATCCCTAGCTAGCAGGACCAGTGGTCAGGGATGATGGGAATTGTACTTTCAAAACATCTGGAGGGCCAAATTTGAGGAAGCCTGGTCTAGACTCTAGCAAACTCTTCTAAAGTTCTTATGAGCTTTGCTGGGCAGGCTAAAGGCTGCCTTGTCCAGAATCCTATGCCCAGTAACATCCATCCAGATGCTTCTGCAAATTCTACAAGCTGGTTCCCCAGAAACTGGTAGAGTGCGCAAGAACAGAGAGGTTCCATTAAGCTGTCAGAGCTACTAGCCTAAGAAAGGGCTGCGCTCCAGCAGTTTACTTAGTTAAAAAAAGCTTGGCACTTATTTAGTGATAGAAAAGCTAGGGCTTGTTATGATTTCCTAGACCATTCCTTCCACCCACTGTTATTTTTCTCTTCTATCTGAGGCCTGATTTGTGCAGCGGCCTTGAGGAACGAGAAGGAGCCTCGGAGCCCAAAGCAGAAAGCCAGATTCTCAGCCCAGCCGCAGAGGACCCCCTGCTGAAATCGAAAGATTATTACAGGAGCAAGCAGAAAGGCCGACCTGAGAGTCCCCCGCAGCCGTCGGGACCTCGCAAGTCAGCCAAGGAGGCGGATCAGGAAACAGAGCTTCTCCTGTGCTGAACCTGCACTCGCAGTCTTTCTGAACAAAAATGTTCATGTATGGCATAGCAGACTCTTTTCAGTGTGGTGTGTGCTCAGAAAACCATATATATTCTGCACTAAGATAATCCTGGTTCTGCAATCCCTAAACCATGCAAAACAGAAGGATTTATTTTGCGTTATTCTGCAGGGCTTCTTTGTTGTTGGCACTTCTGGAGCCCAGCAAGGCGCGGGCTTGTTAAGAAACAATGGAGGGTGCAGCAGTGGAAATCTTAATTCCTCCAGCTTCTGCCAAGTATTGCCTGTGTTCTTTCAGCTGTACCTCCCACATCAACGTCTAGACAGGCACTGGCTTCTCAAACAGCTCCAAACCAAGAGAGTGAGTCTGGGCTTCTCTGACAAAAGCAAAATCCTCCGATGACTACCAAGTGTCTGGATTTTCTGCACCTGCCTGGAACTGCAGGTTTTTCTTATTTTACCATGCATCTGAGAGGCATAAAATGTTGTTATGCAAAACCAGCATCTCCTATTATTCAGCTACACCCTTAAAAGCCAGTTCTCTAGATACAGCCATATCCACTAGCACACTAGAGGTTGGGGCATCCTCGGATCCTGAGAAAAATTCAGCAGTTCTTCTGTATGGCTTAAAGGACCTGTGTGCAGAAGAGGCCTGCCCACTGTGTGTCTCTGCATGATCCCCCATTTTGGCCTTGCTTATTTCCTGTGAGCCTCTCCTGGGGCCCAGCAATCTTGCCATGTCTCCTGAGCAGATGTGGGAACCCCCCTGCTGTTGCTGAACTACAGATCCCATCAGCCCAAGGAAACACAGCCGTTGGCCAGGGTGCATGGGGTTGTAGTTCAGAAACCTCTAGAGAGCCCCCAGCTGTTCTGGGACAATGTGGTTAGATGATCCAAACCCTCCAGACAGAGCAGAATTACCTTCAGAGGAGCTCATCTGTTGCACCTCTGCAGCAGTCACTAATGTAGGCTGGCCTCCTTCCAAGGAGGTAACTCGCTCTCTGAAACAGGGACCTCCAAATGCTGCTGGACTCCCCACTCACATAGTCATCCCCGATGTGTGTCGAAGTTTAATTCGGGGGTGGAGGACATTCCTCTTATATTGCAAGGCCAGGAAACACTCACTTAGATGCAAACGTTTTCCTTGCCTTTAACGCTTATGGATTTTATTAAGCAACCTTCACAAAATGGATCCCATATGCTCAGTATAATTAAGGATGTGTATTTGTGCTATTAGAATTGGGGTGTGTGTGGGAAAAAAACATACCTGTTTTCGGTTTGAAGACAGATGGCCCTGATGCAGTGCCTACTGGCTTGATGGCTAGGGTTGATGGGAATTGGGAGTCCAACATCTGGAGGGTTGCAGGTTCCTAACACCTGCCGAAATGGTTTTAAAATAAGAGGGCCCCTTCCTTGCCCACCAGGAGTTATGGGATTATTCCCATTCATGCATTATGAGGGGGAGACTAGAGTGCAAATCCCAGCTTGGCGACCTTGGGCCAGTCATCAGCTCTCACCTACCCTACCTCACAGGGTTGTTGTGAGGGTTATATTATGGCCTACATACACTACCTTGAGCTTATTGGAGGAATGGTGGGGTTGTCAATGCAATAAATAAATATGATCTAAGAAAGGGCGCTGTCAACATCTGGAAAAGAATAGAGACTTAAAAATATTTTATTATTATTCTTTTAAAAATACAAGAGAACAGAACTGATCCTCTGTTTGGCTGGTTGCCAGCCGACTGCTCCAAAGGGACTGGAAAGTAAACAACTGCCTCTCAGCTTCCGAGGTAACAAAGCAAAAAACAGCATGATTAATTTTCAGAGGGAATCTCAGGATATTCTCCTGGCAACACAAACTGGCTAGTTACCAGGGCAGCCGGGGGGAGGGGGAGGGGAGAGGGGGAGGCAGACCTGTGTGTATACCATGATTTCTATAAAAATGATGCTAGGATTATACATCCAAAATTCGTTCTAATAAAAGCTGTATTCCACAATCCATACAAATTACACTGATTTGATTAAATGTGCATACTTTTTTAAAAAAATTGCTTCTGCATATTACAGATATTGCCTGCATATTACAGATATGGACATATATTTTGACCGAGGAGGGCCTACAGGTCTGAAGTAGGAACATGTGTGTGACCTGATACTGCCTCAGATCTTTGGATCCATCTACCTCAGTACCGTCTACACTGACTGGCAGCGGCAATCCAAGGTTTCAGGCAGGGGACAGTCCCCAACTGGGGACTGAATATGGGGCCTCCTGAATGCAAAGCACAGAGCTACCCCTCAGCTGCAGCCCCTTCCGTACAAAGCAGGGTTTGCAAACTACACACGTGCTATGCAGGGAATTCAAATCTCATCCAACTAAGTGCAGACCCATTGAAATGAACGGACCTTAGACATGCCCATTCATCTCAGTGGATCCACCCTCTGTAAGACAGATCAGAATCTGACCCTTGAAAACCTTAGCAACTTACTAGATTTTGAAATTCAACCAGACATACCCTTCCTCCACCATGCAAGCTCATTTTGCAGCCACAAGGACTAGAAACTTTTATTTATTAAAACTGATTTTCTTGGGGAAACTGATTTCTGCAACCAATACCCCATCTCATGGCGTACATGAACCGTATATGAATCTTCTTCCCCATCAGAGAAAGCAAACATGGGTCAATGGACTTACTCAACATAAGGAAGAAGCTTCAGTTTTCTGTTGCAGTAGGTCAACTGTGCAACAGGTTCCCCCACCAAGCTATACTATGACATCTGCACAAAGCCAATCAAGGGGCTCTCAATCGCTACCGGATAGTTCACAAGCAACAGAACAGAATTTTTCAGATTCTGCTTGATTCTTAACGAGCCACCGAGGAAACAAATCGCCCTGAAGCTCCAAGTCATGAGTTGTGTCTCTCCATCACACACCTAAAATTAACTCAGCCATGCTCCCAGATTAAAGAATTAAGGTCAACAGAAGCTCTTGGGCAATGCAGGGCAAGGTCTGAGCTCCTACCTAACTCTGAACAGCAGGGGAATTATTGATCAGAAATTTCCAATGCTAAAAGCAGACTCTACAGGTACAATCGGAAATGGGGGACACTATGTAGACTGTCTTAATTTATACCGGGGTGTAGAATCCAGCTTTTCCTAAGCATAGAATTGTTTTGGACCTATTTTTGCCATATGTTTCTCTCTTAAGTGCACCTGCCTCATTTTCTCCCCCCCCCCCAAAAAAATTTGCCCCAAGTAAAGAAGCACAAAAGCCTGCTCACCCCTCTGTAAAACAAGAATGTCACAGAGTGAAAGAGAAATTAAAGCTGCTTGCTTTGAGATTTTGGCCGTTTTGCATTTACAAATCAAAGAAAGTGGAGACAGATGACAGCTTAAGGAATCATCCTGGCTGGGTACAGACAGAATGATAGCTGGATGGCAACTGGCCCCCCAAAACGACAGAAATGCCATTTCTGCCAGTCTTGGCTGCAGTTTGCAAGCATCTTATTTCCTATCTTCATTATAAATAGATCAGTAGAAACAGAAACACATTAAACTTCTTTGGTATATTAAAATGGAAAAGTGTGCAGTGAGAAACTTTTTTAAAAGGCAGCCAGGGAGAGGGGGAGGGCGCGAGGGAAGTCTCTCCCAGTCAGTCATGTGCATCCTGCTTAATATATATTGCCAAAGTAATACTTGTTCAGTATGCAAAGTCAAAAGCAACCATCCCCTTGCACTTTGTAGAAACAGAATTTGAACTTTTGCTACACAAGCAGGATTCTGGTGGGAGGAGAGGTGGTCATTATCAAAAATGTGGAATGAAGACAAAGGTTGTGAGGCTGAGCAGTAGGAGTGAGACAGGACCGCTCAACCAGGAGGGACGTCAAAATGGCCGTGAAAGAAACAGGAGACCATAACATTTAGGTGCAAAGACTTCTCTTTTTTTCATTCGTTTGTGAGGTGTATTGCAAGCCTGGTTTGGAAAAAGGGCAAAGGGAAGGGAGATCTCTTTGCCTGTGTTGTTAATCTTGACAGTTGTCATGCATTTTAAGATAGAACCAGAGGGCCTGGATGCTGCAAACAGACCCCACCCCCTGCCAGCCCAGCCTTGGGAGAGTGCTTAGGAGATCAGGCCCAGAGGTTAAAGCTGTGCTGGGCTTGCCCTTTGGTGGGGCGGCATTTGTGGGGAGGGGGAAGAAATAGAAGGGCTGGGCCCCTTTGCTTTAAAAAAGAAAAGAAAAACTTTCGACTAGAGAGGTGAGTTTCTATCCAAATCCCTTCCAGGGAGCAATAGTGGTTACTCAAAGGGCGAGCTTGTCATTGAAATCTGCTTTGGTGCACTTTGGTCCATCAAAGCTGCAAGAGGCAGAGCAACGAAAATTGTTTTCCTTTCAAAGTCGGGCTTGAGGATTCAGTGCAGCTCTGATCATCCAGGCAGTTCTTTCTCCCGCTTACGTCAAGGGAGGGCATCTATTTTTGCCTAAGGTATGGAGCTTCCGCCCAGCCCTTCACAAACCTCCAGGAAACTCACTAGGTATTAAAACTGACCGCTACTGTACCGGCACGGCACGAATGTCACCGTTGTTCTTCTGCACAGGCCAGGCCAAGCGGCCCCTGGAGCCAGGAGCTCCCACGTTCTGCTCAATGCTGGCCCTGGGGTCTTCATAGCTCCGCTTTCACGCCTCTGATGAATGGCAAGCCTGTAGGGACCCTCCTCTTGTAGGCCAGGTACTCTTCACCAAAGAAATGGATCAGGGTCATCTCCTCCTCTTCTATCCGCTCCCGGAAGAAGCGCCAGGATGCCAGCGTGTAGCCCACCATACAGATTGGATTGCACAGCAATACCTGAAACAAGGAATGCAGGAGAATGGCTGCCAGGAGCATGAAAACTGGAAAGCTCAAGAGACTCTAATGTTACATTCACACCCTATGTTTAAACCGTTCTGATACCACTTTAAATGACCCTGGCTTCTTTCCCCAAAGGATTTTGGGAGCTGAAGTTTGTTAAAGGTGCCAAGAGTGGTTAGGAGACCCCTATTCCCCTCCCAGAACTACAACTCCCAGAGTTTCCTGCGACAAGGTATGGACTGTTAAACCACTCTGAAAACTGGAAGGTTGGATGAATGAATTATACGCTATCACACATTCCTCTTAATATCTCATGGAGCCTAGGGTACCTCCTCCACCCCCCGAAAGAGCCAAAATACTACAAGAGGCACTAAGCTGTGCAACAGTACCTGGGTCCCAATACTCCAGTAAAACCATCCGACGTACGATGGGTGACGAAACCAGCCATAAACACCTCTGGTCACAAGAGTGTGAGTCTCCGATTTTTCATTCTGAACAATGTGGTTAAAGTTGGAGCCAGCTGTGAGCATGGCAGCCTTCCTCAGACAGTCCCCGAAAACCACCATGAGCAGCCCTGCCGAACTCAGCCAAGTGATCTGCTTCATCTCTGCAAATGAGCAAGCGCAGGTTGCAAAATGGTGCCACTCTGGTAGAGTTGCAGCTGCACCGGTCAGAAGGGGAAAGGAGGCACTCGGCGCTTGTAACAAATGGATTAACTTCACAAAAATACATTATTCACAAGGGACCAGGGCAGACAGCTGCACTGGAGCTAGGTTTTGGTTTTCTTTTGGACCAAAAATGACTGATAGAAGTCTGTGCCAGCAGGTGGGCTACAACAAAGGTATGTGGGCTAGTTAACTTCTGTGGAGACCCATCTGCAAACTTCACAATTCAATGTACACAAGAAGCAGAATACAGAGATCAAAGCCAAACTTCCATAAACACTAGTTGATAACAGTGATCTCCTCCCCTTTACAGTGTCATTTAAAACAAAAAAGGACCTTAATGTCAGAGCATGAAGTCAAAACAGTCAGTGTTTTAGAAGGGTCAGAAAATGGTCCAACTAATGACAGAGAGCTAAAGCCACACACAAGTGGTGTGCAGCCATCTTTCAATGCAGCCTCTGAATAAGCTTGAGGGTCAACAAGTCCACCCTGTTATCAGCATTTTCAGGCGTGTATTAGTAACTGAGAGCCGGCAGGGTGCAATGAATAGAGCACTCTCAGCCACCACTGAAGGGCTGTTGTTACAGCTAATAATGCAAGTTGTGAAGTCTCTGGTTCAAGGTGGTAATAAGCTGAGTAGGTGGCCTTCACAAAAGGAGTGCTGCTTACTCAGCCTCTGTACCTGCAATAGTAGGATAGCAACCCTGGCCTAACTCAAAAGCTTTCTGAGATAATGCATGCAAAGCCCCTTGACACTAAAAGGCCAAGTCCTACACCTTGTTTCAGCATACCAAGTTCTTATTTATTTAAAGTATTTATGACCCACCTTTCTACCCAGAGGTCCCAGAGGATGAATATATGGCCTAAGCACCAACAGTTTAAAAAAGAAGATAAAAACAGCATGTAGCAAAATACAGACTTCAGTTACAAACCACCAGCAGCAATGGAGATTCAAGCACCCAATACATACTTCATCTCTCCCCAAAAGCCTGGGCAAAGAGGTGTGTCTTCACCTGTTGCTAAAACAGTATCAGTGTTGTGGTGAAACACACCTTCAAAGGGGAGATCATTTTAAAGGTGAGGGGTCAATATTACCCCAATTAGTTCAGGTTGGGGAGAGAAACAGCTTCGTTTTCAGATCTGCCTCCAAGTCCATGTTCCTGGGTCTCCCATTAGAATGATTGAGTTTTTCTGTTTCACTTGCATAAGAACTCAATAGTTACTGACCTGGGCAAATGAATTTTTCCACGGTGAACTCAACCCAGGATGAGACTGCAGCTAGGTTGTATTCAAAGCTGTGGTTGATCAAGAAGGAATCCAAGGAGAGACTTCTGGGATTGTTAACTGCTGTCACCAAGTATTCAGAATAATGGAAGAAGGAGAGCGAACACATATACCTGAAAGAACAACCAGGGACTTAGCAAAACCCTCATGTTTCAGCCTCCTGGGTTTTAACTCTAGGTTTGCTCTTCTGAAGAGCTGTAAACTGGGCTGCTCAACACACCAGCTGCTTAATCTCCAATGCTGTTTTAAAAACGATATTACAAGGGTGGGCACATTCTCTGGATGGTTCCTTTTCCAGGAAGCATGCAGACTCAAATATAGCATCATTCACGTCACTCAATGCAGGTGTCCTAAAACAGTGAGAAGAACTTCCACACATCTACATATATATTTTACAGAGCAGATGCCTAGGTCTCACATCCAAAATTAGTTATTCAGACATTCCCCTCCAGGTGTCTGCTTTTGTCCCCTGGCAAGCAGCTGGGATTTCCTGAGTACAGAAGGCAGGGGAGAAAAGGGGCTCCAAAAAATGGATTCAGAAACAATGCATTAAGTAGTATTTGTCTCCTATGGCAGGCTCTCCTAGTGCCCCTAAGAGGATCAAGGCCAGCCAAACAGAGGTGAGTGCAGGTCCCAGGAGTCTCCAGGAACAAGAGAGCTGTCCCCCAGTGCCCCCAGTTTTCTTTTCAGAAACCTAAAGTGCTGCGCTCTTACCATCCAAAATGCTTCCACGTAGATTGTCCGAAGCTGAGCAATAAACCACACCCGAATGCAAAGCCCAAGAAGCAGGCACGGATGGCAATCTACAAGGCAAGAAAAGGCACAGTCAAAAACTCACCTGCCCATCAGCCAGAGGGGGGGCAACCCCACATACTCCTACCCCAGAAGCCACCAGTTCTGAAGCCAAATCCTAAGGCAGTTCTATCTCTCCAGCACACCATGGGAGGGATTGACAACAGGAAACCCCTGACCACCGCTCCAAACTCCCATTGTCCTCCCAACCACTGGTGATCTGGTGATACTGGAAGTTCGAGTCAAAAAACATATCAAAGGCTGCAGATTCCCCTTCTTATTTGTCTACAATATCATTTATGAGAAAAAGATAGATGAGATCTATCAGGGATGGCTTTGCATCCTAATCATCTAGCGCAATCTTATTTCAAATAGGGGTAAGGGCTTGAGGTTTCCTCTTCAAACTTTTCCTACTTATCCTACGGCAAGACATTAAGATCTAACACAACGCTGAAGACTTTTAAGAGACCAGCCGCAACAAAAATGACTGTGGGCTTGACCAATTAGGTGCCAGGCTAAAACAAGTCACGCCACAACAGGTAAATAAGAGCCTGGCAGGATGAGGCCAATGGCCCATCTAGTCCAGCATCCTGTTCTCACAGTGGCCATCCAGAGGCCTGTGGGGAAACCACAAGCAGAAGATGAGTGAAACAGCCCAGTGTGCAGCAACTGAGGAATAATGGAGGCTGATTCTGGCTAGCAGCCAGTGACAGCCTTGTCTTGCATGATTTTGCCCAATGCTCTTTAAAAGCCATCCAAGTTCGTGGCCATCACTGCCTCCCACCATGGGAGGGAGTTTCATAGTTTACCTATGCACTGTGTGAAAAAGCCCTCTCTTTCACCTGAACTGAATACTCCAACATTCAGCTTCATGGATGTCCACAAGTTATTGTGAGAGAGTAAGAAAAGCATTTCTCTATCCACTTTTTCCATTCCGTGCATAATTCTATCAGCTTTTATAATTTTATCTCTTACAGTGGTACCTCGGGTTACATATGCTTCAGGTTACATAAGCTTCAGGTTACAGACTCCGCTAACCCAGAAATAATGCTTCAGGTTAAGAACTTTGCTTCAGGATGAGAACAGAAATTGTGCTCCGGTGGCGCAGCAGCAGCAGGAGGCCCCATTAGTGGTGCTTCAGGTTAAGAACAGTTTCAGGTTAAGTACAGACCTCTGGAACGAATTAAGTATTTCACCCGAGGTACCACTGTACTTGCCTTTTTGCTAAATGTAAAGGTCCTAAGTTCCGAATGCTGCAACTTTTTCTGATAGGCAAGTCGCTTCTCCCCTTTGATCCTCTGGTTGCCCTTCTCTAAACCTTTTCCAGAAATTCTCTTTCTGAGGTGGGGCAACCAGAACTGTGCACAGTATTGCACATGGAACCACGCCATAGATTTGCATAACGACATTATGATTTCAGCAGCTTTGGCTTTATGTACTTGATGAAGCAAGTGCCAGCCCAGGACAAGTAAACAAGCCCAGTTGTCAGAGTGCTGCAAGACGCCTCACAGGCACGGACTGCTTCAGTGGTTAAAGCACTCTGCGCTTGCGCAGGGAAATACTTGCCCCATGGTTCAGCCCTAAGCACTGGTATAAGAAGATAGAAAGCCATTCAGCAGAGCTGACATATCTGGGTCAGGAGCAGAAAAGCAAACTCATTAAGGAGATAGCCACACCTCTCCTTAAGCAGAGAAGGGAGTGGCCTTTGATGTAAAAATTGGGGTTTGCCTTTTGCTGTCCAACTCCCCATGGGACTCTGAGTCCCCTAAGTCCATGATCAGTCAGAGAAGAATGGATGGAGGCAGGATCCAGTGGAAAGCAAGGCAGATATATTTTTTTTCTCTGTTGCAACAGAGTTCCCTCCCCTCCTTCCACAATGAGAGAGACCCTGAACAAAAGAGTGCAGGAGCCTTTAAAGACGTTTGACGCTGCCCAACCGCCTTAGCCAAAGACCACCCCCAAATCATCATACATGCATCATAGGAGGCAGTCGACAGCAGAAATCCTGTTTTCCAGGATACCTGATAATGGTCGCTGGTTGCATTACCTGGGAAGCCTGGCCATTTTTGTGATGGTTAATACTTTAGTTCCTGAATCCAGGTCACGTTGTTGTTGTTGTTTAGTCATTTAGTCGTGTCCGACTCTTCGTGACCCCATGGACTAGAGCACGCCAGGCACCTCTGTCCTCCACTACCTCCCGCAGTTTGGTCAACCAGGTCACAGGCTCACCCTATTCATATGCAAATATGCCCCCTTTAAGACAAGAAGGGCTTTAGCCATTTGCTTCCCTTACTGCAGAGGAATATTTGAAGTTCATTGGGGGAGTTAACATGGCTTCAGGATTGCTCTCCTGAACTATTTCGGACACATGGATTATTTATACAGTGGTACCTCAGGTTAAGTACTTAATTTGTTCCAGAGGTCTGTTCTTAACATGAAACTGTTCTTAACCTGAAGCACCACTTTAGCTCATGGGGCATCCTGCTGCCGCCGCACCGCCGGAGCACGATTTCTGTTCTCATCCTGAAGCAAAGTTCTTAACCCGAAGTACTATTTCTGGGTTAGCGGAGTCTGTAACCTGAAGCACATGTAACCCGAGGTACCACTGTATTTAGATATGCATGCATCTATGAATATTTATTCTATTTTTGAGACCTTAGAATTCTTTTACCACCCTTGGTTAGACACACCCAGGGGAAACAGCCACACCCCTGGGCGTGTCTAACCAAGTTATAGCAAAGAAGGGTATGGCCACGCCCTTCCCAGGCAGAAGTGGGCAGACTCTGCACTAACCACGCCCACGAACTCGGCGAGTCCCTCCGCCGAGGGGCGGGGCCTCGCGTGGACACGCCCTCCTCCCAGCCCTTACCTGGTACATGCCCCCTGGGGCGCGACCCCAGGCCAGCAGGAGGGCGGCGTTGACTCCGGCCACATGAAGGGCCAGCGCGGCGCGGCCTTGGAAGCCCAGCCCGGAGAGCAGCGCCGGCGGAGGCGCCGACAGCAGCAGCGGCACGGCCGCCACGGAGCTTCCCAGCACGAAGGCCGTCAGGCTGGTCCGTGCCTCGCGTCCCCTTCGCCCGCCGACGCCCGCCTTCCCCTCAGCGCCGGCCATGATGGACCGGCGGCCGGAGCCAAGCCCCGCTCTCGCGAGGCCCCTCCACCCCAATTCTCGCGAGACAACTCCGCGGAGGCGGAGCGTAGACTCCGGTATCTTGGCATGGGACGGGGGCGAGACCTCGCGAGATTTATTGAAACCGGCCAAGGGGGGCGTGTCCGCTTCAGTAGGGCGGGTGACCATAGAGATAAGAAAGGTGAAGAGAAACGCACGCAGCGCGAGTTTCTGGTTTCGATAAAGCTTTGATGATGATGATGATGATAATTTTTTATTTATACCCCGCCCTCCCCAGGGCGGCTAACAAGCAATAATAAAAACAAGTTGAATGAATACAACTTAAAAACAAGATTAAAATACAACATTAAAACATTGAAACAATAAAATATTAAAATGCAGCCTCATCACAGGAGGAGAAAGGAAAAAGAAAGAAAGAGGGGGAGGGAATCAAATTTGATGATGATGATGTACTTCCCGACCCCCTTTTTCTATTTAACGGGCTATTCCAGCCGAAAGGATTCCAAGAGCAACCTACCTATCTTGACTTTAATCAGTTCTTAACATGTTTTAAATAACTGCTTTTAATTCTTTTTATTTATAATTGCTATTGTTTTTCTCCTTGTAAACTTTGCGGTGCTTTCTTACAGTTGAAGAGTATGCTTATGAAATGATTAATTCATAAATAAGAGGTGGCACGAAAGGAAAGAGGTTCAGGGAGGGAGGAGGAAGGAAGGAAAAAAGAACTCTGGCACCAGTGGTAAATGCAGAAATAGCCGTGCTCACAGTCAGCAGTGAAGTTAGGCTGTTTTAGACTTGGGACTTTATGGCCTTACAGTGTGGGCTCTTGATGTGGGATCACTTCAAAATGCCATCTGCTGCCTTTTGAGGTGGGTGGATACACACACACACACACACACACACACACACACAAATAGAGTGGGGGGGGGAGAGGGAGACTAGAATGCAAGCAGTTCAAGGAACAGAAGCAGCCCAATGGAGCTGGCTCTTCAGCCATGCATGGGGGTATGGGCCCCGATTCCCATCTCACCCACTGAAGCAGCCCATAGAAACCAAGGCAGACATCCAAGAGTTCTCTAAAGCCCTGACTAATGACTTCCAGCCTGCTGCATTATTAAGAGTGGTCTACATGGCAGAACATGGCGGGAGGAGGGGGGTGTTACAATCTTATCAAATTGTAGAGTTGGAAGGGATTCATTTAGTCCAACGCCCTGCAATGCAAGAATCTCAACTAGATAATACCTGACAGATGACCATCTGCAACCTCTGCTTAAAATCCTCCAAGGAAGGGGAGTCCACCTCCCAAGGGAGATCATTCTACTCTTCAGAGCAGGAGAAAACAATCTTGCTCCATCTTCCGTTATCCACTTGCATCGGGGATAAAACCAAAGAATATTTCCTTTTAGGGTCGTTGTTGCAATTTTTAATTTTTAACAAATTTCTATACTGCCCTGTGTCCAAGGGTCACATGGCAGTTTACAATACAATATAAAACCACAAAAATACATGACATAGTAACAAACAAGGACAAAAAACTATTCCACCAGCCTGACCCTCAACCTACAACATAGGCAGGGGGGGGGGGATTGGCAGACCTGGCCAGCACTGCTGGGGGTGGGGTTGTATGCTGCCTTCCTATCCTCAGCCCGGTCCATTCTCTTCCTGGTGCTGTGGTTTAGTGTGCCAGACAAGGACCTGGGGGAGACCAGGGTTCAAATCCCCAGTTGGCCATGAAGCTCACTGGGTGTGCCCCTGGGCCAGGCCAGGCATGTGCACCACCTTGAGCTCCTTTGAATAAAAGTGGGGTATAAAAATTTTAACAAATAATATAGAAACCACTTGTTCTTTGGGGTTGAGGCATTCTAAAGCTCATGTGTAGGCCGTGCATTGAAACCGAACATTGTTCGAAAAATATATTTGAAACTGTATTTGTAAAAGGCTATTTTGTATTCTCTGGATATATTACGTTTCCTTTGCTAATTGTTTGTCGGCTGCTCTAAACAAATAAAAAATATATGGTTCAGACTGCAGTTACTTAAGTGGCTGCGTATATTTTAGAAGATCTGAAAAGCTAGTGGCAGAAAGATACCATTGGTTCACCTTCGATTTCAACTTTTAAACACTTGCGGAAAACTTCTGTCAGGCTTAAGCAGGCAATTAAGAAGACATTATTCCATCATAGTTGGTTGATTTCTGATTTTGATATTTTTATATGGTTTTTATCATACGGTGTTGCATACAATTGTTGTAAACCGCTCTGATTTGTTTTTAAATGAATAATATGTATTTTTTTAATGACTGAAAACAAAATACCAACCAAAGGTGGGTTCTTTAAGGTCTACCTTTTGCAAGCTGGCCCCTGCAAAAAGAGAGCCACCACCTCTGGAAATGGATACACATTCCCCTGTCCCCCCCCCCCCCCCGCTGTTGCGTGTGCAAATGAGTTATGAACAATAGAGCAGGGTAAATATTGAAAGATTACCTCCAGCTGGCTCAGGCCACAAAAGACACAGACAATTGGGCCTTTCTCTGAATTCACTCCTAACTCTCACTTTGCACACTCTGGTTGAGTGTTGATTCACTCCTCTGAGTCTATTGTGTCCAGGCATAGTGGGCCCCTCTCCCCCCCCCCCTTGGCAATTCAGATTGCTAAAAGCCAACTTTTATTAAGGACACTTTGAAAACCTCCAGCCCCTCCAGGATGCATCTCTAGAGAAAGTGTGGTCATTGTCTGCCAAGAGACAACAGAGGCTGAAATTCACTCAGCTTTCATGGGGGGAAAGAATGCACAGCCTTTTCTCTTTCTTTCTTTTTTTCCTCCAAGCTCTCTATCACCCTCAAAGCTTTTTCCAAGAAATTGGAAAGCGTGACTCCTTTTCACAGGCTGACTGCCCTGAAGAGCTGTTCGCCTTTTCCTCCGAGCTACCTCCCCACTCCTTGTGCAATGATTAACTTCATTTTGCAAATGTTACATTCTGTTGGATCCTAAAATACAGTCTCTAGTTGGGTATGGAAGAATTGGGTTTTGTTTTTTCACATCTAACATGGCATTTGCAGCTTAGATGGGGTTCCAAATCTAAACTAAGATTGGTGCCTCGTTTTTGAAATGCGTTTGGAATTGCAGGAATACTTGCCTAGGGATAAGTTCCATCACACACACAGTTGGACTTATGGATAACTATTAATAGGCTTGCACCTATGAGGTTGTAATTCACCCACTTGGGAGAACTCTCCAAGGGTTTCAGTGGGAGGTACTCCTGAACAAACACACATTGGGCTGGACTGAATGGCTTTAGTTTACAAATTAAGAAGTGTAGGATCATTTGGGCACATTTTAAAATGACGGTCCTGCAAATCCAAAACACATGATTATTCCTTGGAAGTTTCTTTTGGTTCTGGCGTGACTGTAACAAGGAACAAAGAGGAATCAGATGAGATGGCTTTTCAGTCTGACAGTGAATGGTCGTGCATTGCAGAGGGTTGGACAAAATGTAGTCTCTTCCAACTCTACAATTCTGTGACTCTATATCACACATCCTTCAGCATCTCAATAAAGGCATTTCCCTTTGGGCTTTGGCATCAAGGTGCAAATGTATTTAGATTAAACTAATTAAACACTTGATGTTTTGGGTTCAAAAGCCCATGATGATTCATCAACTCACTTTTGTACCGACTGGATCACCCGGGGCCTCGCCATCATGACTAGTAGCCATCAGTAGCCCAAATCTTTCTGTCTCTTATATCAGCAGCTTTAGCAGTAGCAAAAGCAGGCAAAGAAGTCTTTTCAGTACTCTTGGGTTTACAGATGCTTCTGGTTACAAGCGCTTCAGGTTACAGACTCTGCTAACCCAGAAATAGTACCTCGGGTTAAAAACTTTGCTTCAGGATGAGAACAGAAATCGCGTGGCGGCGGCGGGAGGCCCCATTAGCTAAAGTGGTGCTTCAGGTTAAGAACAGTTTCAGGTTAACAACGGACCTCTGGAACGAATTAAGTTCTTAACCAGAGGTACCACGGTACAGATATTTGGGGGACACCTCTGCCTGCTTACTTCCATGGTGAGAACTGTCCATTTATTCCTACTTGGTCCCCACCCAGTTCCTTAACCAGTTACCAGTCCCTAAAAGGACCTGTCTTCTTACCCCATGACTGCTAATTTTACTTAGACCATTGATGAAGGACTGTTAAAAAGTCCTTAGGGCACAGACCTAGGACACTAATTGGCAGGTGCTAATTGATATGCATAGGTGCCATAACGATGCATTGTGTTTTAAAAGCGTTGCCCAGTAGCTGATGTGGGGTCCTTGAAGAGAAAGGTGGGATATGAACACAATAGATAAATAATAAAATAGTAATAATTTTTTCCCTCTTAGTTTATTTGTAAATCCAGGTTAAATGGGCAGGAGATATGAGGGTACGAAAGACACAGGGCTGTACCTTTTGGGCTCCTACATCAAGCCCAGGGTTTGGTGTTGTCAATGTTGAGTTAGTTTGTTGCACAGCTGCTGCTTCTGAGCAGTCACAGTCTGTCTACCTTGCACAGAGCTTGGACTAGATGAGCCTTGGGGTTACCTCCCAAGCCTACAATTCTAACATAAGCAAAGAAAAGCCTGCAGTTCAGCAGTTCAGGAGATCATATCAAACGCTTCTGTAACACTCGGTAAATATGATCTCGTCTTTCCAGGAGCTCCGTAAGAACTTAGCAGGGAGCTCATTTATAACCATTAGGACAAGGCATGGCAATTTCTGGACAAAAACTGAACTGGGAGCCATCTCTGTGTGAGGTTGCCGTTGGAGGGGGGGCATCAGCAGCGGCACAGGGCCCATTTAGTACGGTGCAGCCTCACACCACTGAGCGTGACCGTGCGTGAATGGCAACGGCGGGCTTAAAGCAGGGGATCACTCCAAAAGCAGAACATTGCAAATTAGCACCATTTTTCGGTCAATTTTCCACTGCTGAGAGGGCCCTCGCCACCACACAAGGCGTTCAAAACCAGATAGGCTGGCCTGCTGACTGGTTTGGGAT